TTGACTCTATCTTTCTTTTTTATACTTCATCCACAAAATTTAAAAAATTAGTATTTAATATTAAGATTGATACATATATCATTTAACTAACTACAAAACCAAGAAAAATTTTAGAAGTATAAACAGCTGTTCGAGGGTAGTAACACAGGGTTTAAAAGAGACTCACTTAGGTGTTCAGTTTGCATCATTGACAAGGTAGAGGTCAAGATCAAACAGTGGGAACTACAGTGTCATTTGCAGGATTCCCTTATAGTCGATCGCGAATAATAGACAGCAAGAACGGGATAAATAGAACTTGGAAACACAAACGGCAAACGAGAGGCTTTCGGTATGGCGTAGAATAGGATCTGAAATCAACAAAGAGAAAAAAAAGTCAAGAAGAGCATTCTGTGACGTATCAACTTTTTAAAGATTTACAAGCTTTGTAACACTGCGACTCTGAAGATAACAGAAGTGGATGTAACCAGTAATGATTCAATGAAATTTCTCAAAGATAGAACTGGTTGTCTTTCAAGTCATGATGGGAGTTTCCATTTTTTACACATGAATTCTGAAGAGGAAGAGATTGAGTATATTAAGCGAGCCGACATCCTTGGAAGTTTGAAAACTAAAGTATCTACACACAATCAGATTAACTGAAGTACTTTAAAACTATTATCGCAATTGAGGTGTCGTGTGTTTTATGAATAGAGTTTTGAATCTTGATGCATACATCGTATACATATTTTGTAAAGTCTAAAAAGTAATCAAATTATGAGACGAGAAATGCTATGAAAAATAACACTATACTATGCATATCGCCTAGTGAATAAGTTATGGCACTACTATATTTTATGCCAGACTATTAGACATTTACTTAACAGCTAGGGGTTGAGAGCAACACAAACTAATTGTGAATACGATGGAGAAATACAAATGCTTTTCATTACTTCCTGCCTTATAATTTCTAGATTCATATAAACATATGGGCATCAACTTCCTCATTATTTTTAGATAAAAAGATGGAATTGATATCACTCACATTAATTTATTATAAAGCCTATTTTAGTCGCTGTAGCTGATTGAGATTGTTCATTTAATGCACATAGAGCCATTAATTACATAAATAAAAATGTTTTGTGCGCACATTTTAATTGAATTATCGGAATTATTAGTTGCAGATATTAGGAGCTGCACGGTGATATCTGGTATGTTTTAAGTGTTGCGAGAAGAAAAACTGAAAGAGAACAAAATGCTATGACAAAATAAACAATGCTCTCAAATCTCTCTCCCTCAACAGTGCTCTCGGTATATAATCTCTAAGTTAAATATATTGAATGACCTCGGAGGGTGTTACAGTTTCATATTTATATGAGAGTGAGGGTTAGTGTAATCTTTATTAATAGACTTTTGGTTAGAAGTCTCGATGCTTTTTAGGGTTAGGGTAAACCCTCCTTATCTTTAGAGATAATCTATCAGTAGGGTTAGGGTACACCCTCTCTATTATTAGAGATTGGTTATCTCAACACTCCTCCCCAAACGTAGAACTCTCTCATTAAAAAACTTCAAGTAGATTGAAGAAAAAGAGTGAACTCATTGTTCGCTCTAATTCAATTCTAATTCAACTATTGTCGATAAGTTTTGACAAAGTTTGCATCCCTGATGCGGCTATCAGTTTTTGATGCTGCGGAGTTGATAATGCCTTGGTAAGTATATCCGCGATGTTCTCCGCTGAAGCTATCTTTTGCACTACAATCTGGCTCGTCTCCGTGAGGTCATGTGTGTAGATGAACAAATGAGTACTGATATGCTTGACATGGTCTGACTTGATGAAACCAGAAGATACTTGTTCAATACAAGTTGCGTTATACGCAAAAATTATTGTTGGCTTCTCTTGGAGTGGAAATCCAACCATCTCGGTTATAGCAGTCTGAATGATGCAAAGCCACACTACTTCTCGGGCTGCCTCGTGAAACGCAAGGAGCTCGGCATGATTTGTTGAAGTTGCCATCTGTTTGTTTGTTCATCTCCAACAAATAGGTGCTTCATTTTTTATGAAGATGGCGCATGTTTGAGACTTACAAGTTGTTGGATCTGATTTGAACCCAGAGTTGGCATAGACTATAATATCATTCTGGCCGCGGCAAAAATAAAGACCGAGATCTTATGTTCCTCGAATGTACCTGAGGAGGTGCTTGATGACTTGCTAGTGTCGTGCTGTGGGGCGTTGGCTGTGACGGACGAGGACCTTGACGGCAAAACTGATGTCGGGTTGGGTATTTGTCGCCAAGTAGAGGAGTGCGCCAACAACTGCCAGGTACTTTAGTTTGTCAAACTCCTCCTCCTCGGATTCAGCAAGACAATAGGGAACATTGTCAGTTTTGCTCCTCCCTATCATAGATGCTGATAGGGCATTCGCGTTGTCCATGTTGAACATCTTGAGAAGCTTGCGAGCTAAAGTTTGTTGATGAAGAAGCATACTTCCATCTGCAAGATGAGTAATCTGATGTTCGAGTGATTGGGCCACACCAATCATCTTGAAGACTTTGCAATGGTGCGGACATCTTCTCCGGTAGTTTCCAAGTCGAATGTCGTTTGATCAATTTCCCTTCGATGCATGCTGGGCATTCTCGAACATGCTCCGCATCGCTCGTGCACATCTTGTGGCCGGTCAAGAGCGGTATAATCCTCCGCATCATAGTAATTCACGGGTGCTCTAGTCGGTTATGCCACAAATCCGCTCTAGCGTTTGTTGTCATGAGGGATGTGGAGGCACCTTTATAGGGTAGGCTCGGTCGCGTAGTGCAAGCGGTGGCCTCTTCCTTACCCGGTTGGGTAGGGCTAGCGCCCAAAATGGGCCGCGCATTGCCTCTTCCTTGCACCTGTATGGGTGGGATTAACTTCCGAGATTAGAATCTCGTCTAGGCATGTTATTTTCGCTTTAGCGGTGGCGAGGATAGATGTCCCACGCTTGAGTTGTAGTATCTCTTCACCGCACTTCACCGCTGTGGAGGTGTAGATATGATTGACCTGTAAATCTCGATAGGTGATCAGACTCTAGGGGGCGCCAGGGGCATACATTACCCATTCGCAGGTGAGAGGGCCCCCTCTGTACAAAACTTTTGTTGCCCGGCCCTCACGGAACACTAAATTTTGCATTCCTGCGATTGTGAGTATGTCACAAGATTGCCATCGATCGTTTTGAGTTTGGAACTCAAAGTAAGTCTGGTCTTTGAAAACCAAAACGGTGATTGCACTATCAAGGAGCGCGATATTGTCCTTGTTGATAGTACCATGAAGCGTTACCATATAGTTTTCTAGATCTAACTCCGTAAATGTGAGAGGCGGAGCATCTACAATTTGAGACTCTCGTCGCACAACTTTCAAAAACCGAAGTTCTTGATACATGTCACATATGTACTTGCTAACGTGACAATTGCGTGCCCGATGACCAAGTCTACCACACTCATGACAATTATCCTTGATCTCAGGAGACAACGGTGATTGAGATTGATATCGTGATCGAGATTGAAATCGAGACTGAGACTGAGGAGGTTTGTTGCCATACCGCTAATACCTATTGGACGGATTGTGCCTCCAATTTCCTCGTGGCATGCGTTTGGGTGCAGTAGGAACATAGGATTTGTCGTTTGTACCTCCAGATTTTGAAGTTGAGCTGGTCGTGATGTGCTCCGAGGCCTCTGTATTGTGAATTTCTCTTGCAGGTCGAGTCTTAGCCGTCTTCAGTAAGAGTCGTTGTTGCTTTTCAGCAATCATCAGGTATCGCATCAAATCAACATTCTTGGTGAATTTCATATTGCGATATTGTTGCGATAAGATGGCACATGCGGGAGGAAAAGTTGAAAGTGTCTTATCTATCATATCAGCGTGAGTGATGCTCTGACCACAAATGCGGAGCTGGGCAACGATACGATGCAGTTCTAAATCATAACTATGAAAATTTGGGAAGTTGAGGACTCAAAGACTCAACCAATCACTCCAGGCTTGTGGTAGGATGATAGTTTTTTCATGCTGGAAGCGTGATTTGAGCGCCTATAGGATTGTCGGATCCTCCTCGTGTATGTATTGCATCCGTAACGACGAGTCGAGGTGTCGACGAAGTACCAATAGTGTCTGCCACTTGTGCGCCGGCTCAATCGGTTTTTCCAAGTTTGGGTGCAGCATGTAGATCAGTTCTTCGGCGGAGAGATACGTCCTTATGTTGAAGTGCCAATTTAAAAAATTCGTCCCATCGGACGCTAAAGGTTGGAAGTAGAGCGGAGTGATTCTGCTATACTTGGATTGTGCTTCTTTCGTCATAATGAATCTAACTATCTACTCCAGGAACAAGAAGACTTCTTTGTACACAAGAATTCCTGGTACTTGTGTACAAAAGAATCGTCAAAGGTAGGAGTGGGAAAGAAAGATGAGATGAAGACTTCGGAAAGGGAAGGGTAGATGGAGATAATGATGCTTCAAAGAGTGCGAGAGAGCAACAAGAAGAGGGAAGCAGGACAAGATCGGCAAGACACTCTATGCTCAGTGGAACAGTAGCAACGGCAGCGAAGATGGCGTTTGGAGTGCGTCAAATTCTGAATCACTGCCACACACTCCACAACGAGCTCACCCGCAAACAAAGAAACCTATCACCGAGCTCTAGACCAAGAACACAAAGTCGTTGACGAACTTTCAGCCCTTCCTCAAGCAATACAAAGCCCTGTTGGATGTCAACTACAAACTGACAAGTGAAAATAGAAAACTAAGAGGTGGAAACAGTAAGTTGACAAATTGCCAGGAGCAAACAGAAAGCGGACAGGAGCGAGCGTGCTTCAAACAGAGCGACCGTGTTGCAAACAGAAAGCTGACAAGGGCGAGCTTGCTGATAACGTGTTGCGAGAAGAAAAACTGAAAGAGAACAAAATGCTATGACAAAAGAAACAATGCTCTCGAATCTCTCTCTCTCAACCGTGCTCTTTGTAAATACTCTCAAAGTAAAATATATTGAATGACATACGAGTGTGTTACAGTCCCATATTTATATGAAAACGAGGGTTAGTGTGCACTTCATTAATAGAGAGACTTTCGGTTAGAAGTTTCGATGCTTTTTAAGGTTAGGGTAAACACTTCATATCTTTAGAGATAATCTATCGGGGTTAGAGTAAACCTTCCATACTATTAGAAATCGGTTATCTCAACATTAAGAATGTAGGCTGATGGAGTGAGTTTTTGTAGTTAATAATATACTATTTATTTTGCTCTTTAAAGTACTAGAATACCCAATACGTAAAGCTACCGTGTGACTCTCGAAGGAGTCCGAGAATGGTATTCCCCTTCAATAAACCGGACTGGATAACTGATGTCGGATATCCTATGTATTGAGATTTAGTCACTCCACCATTATTTATTGAAGGAATCTGAACAAATTCCGGCACCATTCATGCTGTAAATTTGTCCTATTTATCATGTGCATTCACGTGTGATATCCCGAGACTTCACTAATCCCAACGACAAGCACGAATACTCCCTGGCTTTTGGCCGATTTCCTTTCCTACACAGAGCATCAGTTCATTTGAAATGCCGGCCTCAAGACTTGATCGAACTGTCCTCTTTCTCCAATTCCCGTTCCGTCTCCTGACCCTTCGTCTAGAGCTGCTTGTAGTACACGTAGAAAGATGTGTAAGGCGATTTAAAGATAGCGTTAACCTCCGTTGGCGGAAATGAAGGAGGTAACCCGTTCTTGGTGAACAGCCTTTGAAGGTAAGAAACATCGCCAAATAAGCCGCTGCATTCACATCCACATCATTGTACCACATTTTTGCACTTCAGCTATGCATGCACCATAAATGCCACATCAATGACAGACCGTACCAAGTCACAAGCCACTGAAGACACAATCTTAAGTTTTATACCAGGAACTGAACATGCCCAATTTCCATATCGCATATTCCATTGACATCAGGGCATCAATCTAGATCTGGAAAACTGCTCGAGCGCTGCGGTTGCATTCTCATGGGACATGACACAAATCGAGAGAAGAAGAACTAATCGAGCATGCATAGCAAATGAGCGGGGGAATCATCGGACTTACGAGGATCCTTGCGAGTTAGTAGACTTCAGCAGAGCCCAGACGATGCTGTTGCTTTCAACCTGCGCTTTGGACACGACCTTAGCGGTCACGAGACTTGGAGGGCAGTCTGTCTTCCACGAAGGCTGGCCGCCCTTGGGGTCAACTTGCGGCAGGTAGAAGTGGACACCAACTTTCTCGGAGCGCGAATTGTAGAGCTCAGCGGTGGCGCCCGTCAGGATCCAGGCCGTGCCATTGGCGGTGTAAACCTGATCTCCCACCGCGAAGAGCTGTGCGATGGGCACATTGCCCTCTGGAGGGATGAGAGCCGGGTCTAAATCGCTGGGAACGAAGACTGACTGCGCATCCTCTGATGAGAAGGGAGTGGTGCATGCTCCATGGGCGCACGAGATGATCAGAGCCGCCAGCAAGCTGAGGAGTAAAACCTGCGCTCTCGAGCTCGTCATGGCTACGAGACGTATAAGATATCGGCAAGTTGTTCCTCGTGAATGCTTGGTGGCGAATTCGAGAACCCTAAGGCCACATTGGCGTCCGATGGATAGATTGTGCTCGAATGTGGCAAAGAGATAGTGACTACTTTCTTTCTTTTTTTTCTTGGGAATTTTGAAGGGCAAAATTGAGGTTTTGCCAAGGCACTGCAGCAACTGGAGAGGAACGAACTACCGACAGCTTCCAATTGTATGGAAGCGGACACGCCTGGAGCTAGTTTTACTTTTTTGTGTCAATATTGAGCTCCGCTGCAGTGCCCAGAAGATGGAAGGCGAGTGTAGAAGAGAGAAGGAGGAGTTTCCTTTTATGCTTACCATGGCCAAGCGTCTCAAGTGTGATCTCCTCATACAATTACTAAATGTTGCGAGTCACACGGCGACGACAATGACGACTTTGTCGTCATTTGGAGCTGCTCGCTGTCACGTACAACTCTTCAGAAAAATTCCCGGAACTTACACGAGAACTTGACGCAACACAACGTGCGAGTCATAGGTTTATCTATGACTCGCACGTTGTGTCAGTAACCGGCGGATGGAGAACAGATTTCTTAACTGGTAATATGCATAGAGTTCCTATGTCCCCTTTTGAAGTTTGTGAATTGGTGAACGACACAATAACTGCAAAAGAAATGACAAGGTTGTTATAGACAAGCAATACTGGGACCTAGTCGCTCTTCACGGTATATCGGTGCCAGTCGAACACGCCTTGGACCAACGAACAAGTGAAGGTCAAAGTGTATTTTGCCAGACTTTCCAAACGTAGTATTATTCTTTGGGCCGGCGTTTCTGACCAAATACTAGCTTCACTAGTTCAATACCTCGAAGTCTAATTTTTCAACAGAGACGGTCCTATCCAAGCAGGTTTTGAAGCCACATTCTCTGATCATAATGCATTTATAGATAAAATTACAAGGCTCAAGCTGCATGTGCTGGACAACTTCCGGTTAATGCGCAAACTATATTCTCAAAATTTGCATCTGCATGGATACATATGGCTCCTAGTATAAATGAACATAATCAGCCTTTACATGGGCTTTCATGTTGTTGTGATCAAGACGAGCCAGTCCTTGGCATCTTTATTGAAAAATTCAGGACTGGATGACTGATTCCAAATGGTCATATTTCATTCAGCTCCAAAGGATCCACGCCTCAGCTTGAATGATTCCTACACCCGAATATGACCTAAAGCATACTCTAGTCGTACACATATCTTTTATATTCTCAAACTAGCCTCAAATAGCATCGAATAGCATCGAATAGCATCAAAGTTTTTTGAAATCCCTATAAATAATGATGTTGAATAATTTTAATACCAAGTTTCATAGAATCCTTCTATGCTTTAGATTTGTATTTTTCATACGACTGTATTTATAGATTATTGACTAATTTAGAATTCATCACTCGTTTGTAGTGATGAATTCTAAATTTAGGATATTTTTTGGATCAGTTGTGTGCTGTGATGTTGTGTGTATTCTCATCGATCTCAAATCTTTTCCAATATGGAATAGCATAAATAACGAAATTATTTACTATATATTTTTTCCTTGATCAACTTGATGAATCTTCTAGGCTTCAGACTGAAGGTGGTAAGGTTTAAGTGATGATTTTCTTTATGCAATACCCTTCAAATCCAGCTTGTATATAGATGTGTTATTTGAACAGATGTCTTATACATTTGTGAAGTGTCATAGTGAGAACCATAATATGAAGAAAGAGATCAAAGATCTAATCATTCACTCTAATCAATCAATCATAGCATTGCATCATGGACTTAATGATGTTTCCTTGATAATGATTTAATCTTAGTTTGCAACATTGCACCCTAGAATCGTTAAAAAGTATAACATAATGAATCACTTTTGAATGCAAATTTAATGATGTGATTTCCTTTAGAGTCTCCCGACTCCGACTCCCGACTTTCCAACACAGCATCTTGAAGGGTATTCCCCTTTCATTAGCCTTTACCGAATAATGGATTTCGAATAACAAATGTATCGAGGCTAAGTCAGTCCACCTTTATATATCACAGGAATCTGAATAAAGTCCAGCACCGCTAATGCTGCAGTTCCATAACATGTTAGGTGCATGTACAAGTGGTATCCTAGTGTTCACTAATCCAACGCGAAGAACGAATACTCCCTCGCCGACCTCCTTGTTTACAAAGATGATTGATATGCTATCGTCGAGACTTGTGCAAAACTCTCCTCCTTCTCTAACTGCCTTTCCGCCTCATGACATTTCTTCGTCTACAGCTGCTTGTAGTACTCATAAAACAATGTGTAAGACGAGTGAAGGTATCATTAATCTCCGTTGATGCAGATGAACGATGTACAGTAACCCGCTCTGGGTGAACAGCCTTTGAAGGTAAGAAACATCGCCAAATAAGCCGCTGCATTCACATCCACATCATTATCCCACATTTTTGCACTTGAGCTCTGCATGCACTAAAAATGCGACACCAATGGAAGACCGTTCCCAGTCACGAGCTACCGAAGACACAATCTTAAGTAATATACCAGTAACTGAACATGCCCAATGTCCATATCGCACATTCCACTGACATCAGGACATCAATCTATATCTGGAAAACTGCTCGAGCGATGCGGTTTCATCCTCATGGGACAGTACAGAAATCGACAGAAGAAGAACTAATCGAGCTTGCATAGCAAATGAGCGGAGTAATCATCGCACTTACGAGGAACAATTGCGAGCTAGTAGACCTCAGCAGAGCCCAGACGATAGCATCAGAAACTCTCTGTATTATACCCCAAGCTTACAAAATCGTAAGCTCCCCTTCTCTTCCAAACATATGAACAAATACATATGGCTTCCATTTGATCTACTGTACTGTATGACTTTCTCCCAATGCTCTTACCATCACACTTGAATGGCGAAAATTATGTCCAGTGTTTTCCAAGTTTTCCAAGTGAATCGCTGCGGTCTTTTCACACTGTTTTCCATATATCTTTTTAATTCATGATCCTCGGTTCTTATTTTTATTATATCAAATGGTTCTCTCAAGTTTGTACGTCAAAGGCTTAAATATAATAACAAAGATTTGGGAGTTGTGTCACTACTTATGTATATAAGGGGTATATACGTAAGTCAGAGCTAGCAGTGCAAATTGTGCTAGATTTGTTGTTATAAGATTTCGCAAGATGGAATAGATTTGAAGGATAGTTGGCAAGATAGATCTTGAACTCTTCTTTTTGAGGGGAAAAAAACGATTGAAAGAATGGAAGATTTGCTAATTTGACTAAGTAATTCAGTGCTTACAGTTATTTTGATCACTAGAATGAAGGTTGTACAAGTTGATCATGAGATGATTAGATGGGTGCTCGTGTTGGGCGAAGGCAATTTCAGCGTGGTTGATTGTGGGACTCAGCAATCTTCCTAGTTTTGTTTCATCCACATGAGAATTGGTGCAGTTTTTTCAACGTCTTACAATGTCCGTTCCTATGAGCTTTTTCTTATTCTCTTAAAGGGGACAGATTCCCATTACTTAAGTCGACAGATCAACCGGGTCCCGCTTCCCAAGTGCGTTAGACAAGAGGGATTTGAGAACGGATTTCGATACAAAAAGAATTGAGGCTGGGGCACTTCACATTTATTGCATAAGTCTGAAAAATCCAACACTCCTTATAATGCAGTTTCGTTCATTCTATCTGTGCATGTACGTGTTACATCCTGAGCCTTCACTAATCCTATTCAAAGCACGAAGAATCCTCGTAATGAAATCCCCGTGCGTTCCCAGGTGATATTGTAAATCGGTGGATTTTGACATTTATGCTCTACATGTCTTTTATAAAGATTTTGACTACTTACGATTGCTTCAAAGCGCGATGGATCTTTTGAATGAGCACCCAGTTCCATAGAATCAATCTGTTCAGGTTTCAGATACGAAGAGAATCACCACCCCATAAAATTTATCCGATTCGAATACGATCTATCCGTCAAATATATCTGCTCCACAAAAATGGGTGAGAGCCTTCGACGTCGGACATCTCACACCTCGCAAGTGAATTAGATTTCCCTTGCAATCCAATTATCGCAACCTTCGTGCAGGTCATGGGCCGCTCCTGCGTAGAGCAACAGAACATTTGTTATCCTGGCGTTGAGACTTATGCCGAGGATCCTCCATCTCCAACAGCCGTTCCGCCTCATGACCCGTCTTCGTCTACAGCTGCTTATAGAACACGTAGAACGATGTGTAGGACGAGCTGAAGGTAGCATTAATCTTCGTGGGCGCAGTAGAAGGAGGTAGGCCGTTCAGTGTGAACAGCCTTTGAACGTAAGTAACATCGCCAAATAAGCCGCTGCATTCACATCCACAACATTGTGCCAAATTTGCATCTCAGCTCTTCACGTCCCGTAAATGCAATTTCAGTGACATACCAACCCCAGTCACAAACTACGGAGGAAATTTGATAGGATTGCCGTAAGTAAACACTCTAATCTCCAGATCGCAAATTGGACTCAGATCAAGTCTTCATTCGTAATATGAAAAAATACTCGGGGGCTGAGGTTTCGTCCACTTGACACAAACTCACATTGGTAAAAGTAATCAAACATGCAGAGGCGATGGGCGGGGAATGGAAGCTTCAGATTTACCACGAATCTTCGGAACTGGTAGCCTTCAGAAGTGCCCAGGCGATGCTGTTGGTGTGAACCTGCACGGTGAATAGGCGCTTGGCGGTGACGAGACTTGGAGGGCTCGTTGTCTTCCACGAAGGCTGACCGCCCATGGGGTCAACTTGCGGCAGGTAGAAATGGACGCCAACCTTCTCGAAGCGCGAATTGAAGAGATCAGCCGTGGCGTTCGTCAGGACCCAGGCCGTGCCGTTGGCAGTGTAATGTTGGGCACCCACTGCGAACAGCTGTGCTATGGGCACATTTCCCTGCGGAGGATAGAGCCCCGGGTCCAAACCTTTGGGAACAAAGACGTACTGCGCATCCTCTGTTGTCAACAATGTGGTGCACGCTCCTTGGGCGACGGAGATCATCAGAGCCGCCAGCAAGCTTAGAAGTGAAACCAGCGCGCTCGAGCTCGTCATGGTTGTGAGTACGTAAGAAGACGATGTCGGAAACTTGTTTCCCGTAAATGGTAGGAGGCAAGTTCTTAATTCCTCATGCGAATCTTCGGACCGATAGATAGATTGTGCTCGAAAGTCACGAAGAGACAGTGACTTTTCTTCCGGTTTTTCTTGGAAAAGTTGGAGTGCAAAGCTGCAGTTCTTCGAAGACAATGCAGCAGCCTGAGAGGAACTAACAGCTTACGGATTCCGATTGTATGCAAGCGGACACGTCCGGAGCTAATAAAACTTTGAGTCAATATTGAGCTCCGTTGCAGTGCCCACGGGATGAAGGGCGGTGTAGAATAAGCTAAGAGACAGTTCAATTTATACTTCCCCATGACCAAGCCTCTGAAGTCTGATCTCCCCATAGTGTAAATAAACCTTGCATGTCACAGGGCGACGACTACGTGGTCAAAAAAGCTCCAAGAACTTACACGAGATTTCGACGCATCAAAGCACGATTCACAGTTCCATGGAAGGCAATCATTTTCAGTTCTTCTGATCAGAAGCCGTGGATGGCGCAGAGATTTCTTGTAAATTAGAGCTCCTTTGACTCCTTCTCAAGGTTATGGATTTTATAACCTTGAGAAGAGCATAGTAATGGTGAATACCGGGTAAAGATAATAGGAGTGTCAGTTTGAAGCATGGTCATAGATTCTACGACCGGAGGACTCGGTAACCATCTACCATAGAATCCATCCTCATGTCTGCGTATATTGAGCTTGCTGCATGATTTTGATCCTTTATCCTGTAAATTTTCAATGATAATGTTTTATGTGATTATTAGAAACAACTCCAATTAAATTGATAAGTAATGTCATTCTATACACATTGATTCTATTAAAAGCATTAAAATACAGTGTTAGAATTATGGGCATTCTCATATTTCTTGTTTTGAACACTTTCATTCTGAAATTTGAGTAAAACCGGCTCTTGGAAAGATGCAGCACCTTCTCCCTGCAAGGCTCTTTCCCCTGGAAAATATTCGCCGTGCCTTTTAAACGCGAATTTCGAAACAGAAAGCAGACTTCTCGTTGAATTCTCCGAATCTGTAACAGTTTAGGGTGGACACGACAAACGTTGGACAAAGGTATATACAGTCGCACACGAAGGTTGCCTTAAGTATCTCGGGATCTTGTGCAGGCCTTCAGATCTGGTCTAGGCAGTAAAAAATTAGAATCTGTTGCTTGGGACCTTGACTTGTTTTTGCAGAGCGTGGATGGAGATGGAAGAATATTTTCAGACAAACAAGAACTTATCTTTATCGAAGGGAGAAACGATACCTTGGGAAGAAGTGACATCGTTGTTAAAGAAAACTGGGACCGAGGCGCTGTTCGCGTATATTGCGCTAAATGGACACGCCTTAGATCAAAGTGACAAGGTTGTTAAAGAAAACTGGGACCGAGGCGCTGTTCATGTATATTGGTGCTAGATGGACACGCCGTAGACCAAAGGTACAAGGTTGTAAAAGATAACTGGGACCGAGGCGCTGTTCACGTACATTGGTGCTAGTAGGACACGCCTTAGACCAAAGAACATGTGAAGGTCAGCGGGTATTCTGCCACAAGTTGCAGATCTAGTACTATTCTTTGTGCCAGTGTGTTTGACCAAAGTGCAAGCTTCACTACTTTTATGCGACTTAGTCTCTCTTGTCAACAGCGACAGACCTATCACAGCCGGTTTTGTTGTCATATTCGGCTGCCTACTGTAACATTGTCTCCTGGGTGCGATAAGAACCTTTGAGAGATGGCGAAAGCTTTGTTGTGATTGTGTACTTACATAATCAAAAGTAGGGTTCTCTGGTAAGATCCATCCCTCTCCTCTTGTCTACTTGGGAATTGTGTCTCAGTCGAAACATAAGTTTTGAGTCTATACTATCAATTTCTAGGATCATATGCATATTTTGATAATGTTACAACGCCTGAGCATCATGCGCTCATTCCCTTGGGCTAATCCGCTCCCTATATATTCCCGAACTGCATCTGGTCTTGATACATGTTGGCTCCTCTTGAAAATGAATAAATCAGCCTTCACATGAGTCCTCATGTTGTTTAGATCATGACAAGTCAGCCGTGGTCACCTTCATTGATCTTTGACTGATACTAAGTGTATCAAATCTCATTCAGATCCAAACGAATCCCCTAATGTCCTTTTCCTCATCTCTCCTTGTTTTATCGAATAGCCTTATGTAATGTTCTTGTTTCCGTATGTACTATGTATCTATCTTCAATATCTCAGTATTAATTTCTTAGGTTCCAGTTCTTTCAGATGCAAGGATGAAATTGCTTTGGATCCCATAGCCCAGCTTGTATGGTTTCTACTCCTCTCGCTGAGACCACGGTGTTTGGATTATACTGTCATAGGGTTTGTACCGGAGAGAGTTATACACAAGCAATATAGATTGTAGTTACACCTTCCATAATATACTTGTTCGTATAGCCATAGAGTATGACAGCCGTAGATTTTTGGACTTCCGCCCTAGTTGCTACTAGATTGAGTGTCATCTCATGGTAGGATATCAGCTAAGGTGCGAGATATTATTAGAATGTTGGAGATAAGCCAAGACAAGTTAAATATATGTCTCCTATTTTGGGATTGGTATTGAGTAATCATAAGTTTGTGACATGGTAAGTGAATGATAATTTACAACATATTTTTTGAACTAATGAGCTATCACGCTATGCTCAAGAACTTTATTGAGGCCTCCGTAGGAGCAGCGGAAGGTGATGATGAGCTCTCTTGTGAGCATGTTAATTCATGTTGCGTGCTTTTGGCGAAAGTTTCGAAGTTCAGGAAGGACAGTAACTGGTATACCTGGATCGATTACGAGAAGTTTGTAGCAGGACTTGTTTACCAGACAATGTTACCGTCGAAGGGTCGAAGTCCACAGTGCTAGAATTGAGGAGTGTTAGTTAGTGGACGGGGATTCACATTTTGTGGCGATACCAGGGAGTTTTCTTCATCGATGTGAACAATGATACCTCTCATCAGTTTGCTGTTCGACTTACGATACATGAAAACAGAGAACTTCGTCCTCCTGTCTTTGGTCTACGCCGATCGACTTGAACGTGCGCAGTGAGTTTGCAGGACGTGCATTGAGTCTTTAAGTACCTTATCATTCTAGAGTTGGATATACACGTTCTGATTATGGTAATCTTGGAACGTTGTTGTGAATAGAGCTCTATGGATATAATGTCTGTCATCGCAGAACTTTTGTAGCCTCCAGTTTCTAATTGCAGTGATTGGCTGGTGCGAGGCAACAGATGTCGATCAATCTCACTCAATTTCACGGTCTCAAGTACGTAAAACGTTGCAATGAAAGTGCTGCCTGTCCAAGTGAGCTGCTTTTTCCACCAATTAACCAATCAGTTGTAAATTTTGCGCACTCCGGACTGAAATCTCAAACGACGATAATGCATTCGACATTTCCCCATCTTGCTGTCACATGTGCTATATATTGAGCAGTTCACGTGGTTTCTCCACAAGTTACTCTTTAGAAACAAGGGGAAAGGCTTAAATAGTCTGAGAATTTTGTTGGGGTGATTGAATAATTCCTTGTAAGGTGACTACTCTGCACCACAGGAAGCCCTGGCTACCGTGTTACGTGTTCTCCTCTGGACCCATATGGTGAAGGCAGGTTCCGAACTCAAACTTTTTTAAAAGCTCCGTTCATTACGCGGATCATGGTCTTAGTGCAGTATAAAGGCGACACTTCAGAGTCCGTTGCTGCAAGTAGTCCTTCAGACCCGCGCCGTCAAAATAAATGTTAATATCATCGTGAAGGTCGACGTCAATAGACACTACAGAAGGATCTAGTCAGAAGGCCCAGAACTGTACGATAAACACTTTAACTAAGGGGTTATATACTCCTCATTTTCCCCGCTATCAACTCCAGGCGTGTGGTCTTGCCCACGATGTCCCATCTCCTGTACTTGGTGGAGCCTCAACTGAATACACTGGTGATACTCTTACTCTCGCTTTCCTCACTTTCTTCCGACAGAGAGTCGACTTATGTTGAGGAAGTAAGTCTGAAGGACTAAAACCATGCAAGCTCGCTGGGTGCTCGAAGTACAAAAACCACTAAATAGGATCTGCTGAGAATAACTATCTAGCCAGGTGCTCATCAAGCTTGACGGGAGACTGACCTTACTTCTGAGACTCGATGCATGCTAAGTCGGTCTACCATCTGGCCGTCTTCCGTCCTCGCATCCGTCCTGAGTAACGTTCAGGATTAACTGGACGTCAACACACATGTATTCCCTGCATGCAACGAAGGGAGATATTGATCATTTTCGTACCACGAGACAGTGATGACCTACATAATCCTGATTGTGCTAGTTGGTTTCCTTTGAGGGGAAAGGGGCTGCGCAGGCCAAGGAAGTGGTGCAATACCGAGGCTACACTGGCGAGTCCGAGACAGCAAGCTGCCTGATTGGACCCGCACCCGTGAGAGAAATTAGATTAATATCGTTAGGATCGATGACCCTCGTATCAGATATTAATCTGATGAGAACAGATACTACACTTGATCTTAGCCAAAAGGCCGAGAGAGGTATACGTTAAAAAGTGTTATCGGGAGAGTACGTTTCTCGGCACTGCTCGGGTCATACGCTAGGCCTATGGGTTTATATGGAAACACTACGTTCTCAGCCAGAAACAGTTCTGCTGCGGTCACTCTCGACGAGCATAATTATTGTTTTAAGTTATCTCGAATTGTTGCTTGGTTACATTGCTCGCATACGTACCTATGTCCTGCATGTTCAACTTTGCTTTGGAGATAAAGGTATGATTATCATATCTTATGTATCTTCACGGTATTCCTAGTGATTTCTATCTCGGCCTGACTAACACCAAAGCCTATTTGTTACACGAGTACAGGGAAATAATAATAATAGAATTGATTCATTTGCAGAGTACTAGAAGGCTGTGATTGGAATTAGCAAATTATTTTCCCTCTTCCTGCATCTCAGTCACTACCTAGCCACATGTTCTCCGTTTGGTTTCTTCATTGTAAGAAGTGAGGGTTCGTCCCATCCTTTTCGTCGTTTTACCGTCTTCTTTTATTGCCTCAACTGCTGTAAAAGGCTATGCTTTCTTGTTGACGAGATGGTCGGTGGCATGGGCATTGTGCACGGGTCAGGCTGTCTGTGTTCATTGAACAGCGGGCCTTTCCTGGCATTCCACGAAGAGATGGAGATCGGAATCATCCAATTGTCAAATACTGTCAAGTTTAAGTGGAAGTCATACAGATGGACGCATCTCTAGTTACCAGCTGAATCGCATGCACTGTGGATATAAAAGCCACCGCCGGTCCCTGCTGCAGAAAGGGTCATTGAGCGCCAAAAGTGCCAGCAGTTAACTCGTCGTCGAGTCCATTTACCAAGTGGTCGGAAGTGTTGGAAAGATCAACCTATGTCTCAAATGTCACAGCCATCTGATAGCGACTAATGAGGGTGAATAAACAGAATATTGAGAGATTGAATGACTGAATAATTGGAAGACTGTGGGACTGTGACAAGAAACCAAATAGAGTCTATGGAACTCGTCCATCAATTCAGCGACTCGGTCCGTTCCGTGTAAGAGGAGGATTGAATGATGGAGCAACTAAACCGATCAAACATACGACGCATCCAGAAGTAAAGATCAAACATTTTTGGATTTGAACGTCGTTGCTCCTTTTGGTCGGGAATTCAACGATTCTGGAGAGTGCTGTACAGAGTCATATCCTTATGGAGAGGGCGACAGGTCTTTCCGTTCAAAGTTTTCTGATGAAGATTTCTTTGGAGATGGAGGTAGAGTTGACGATTCAGCTGGCTACGGTAGTAACGGATTCACTCTAAGAGTGATATGTGTGTTATGATATTTAAAGCTAATTGAGGTGGTATTGACGAGGGAATAACAATCGTACCACGTAGTTCTACTTCACAGTCGATGAGTCCTTCCGGAGCGATCACTATTCATTCAAGACGGGGTTATGGGAACAAACGCTTTCACTACTTGGATTCATTTGGATCTATTTGTGATTCAAGAATCTATTATATCACCCTATTCATTCAAGACGGGGTTATGGGAACAAACGCTTTCACTACTTGGAATTATTTGGATCTAATTGTGATTCAAGAATCTATTATATCACCCGGCCTCACCGCTTTGTACATCCCTGACATGAGAACTACAGCGAAATCAGGAAAAGGAAGCTACTAAAGCAGAAAATGAGACCGAGGAAAACATTTTCCACCTAGACGCTTAACGTTATAAAAGCAAAGCAATTCATGTTATAACACTTGCGCTAGATCGTTTTGATATCGTAAGTGCATGGGGTTATATTATCTACGGTAACCTCCCGGTTGAGTCTGCAACCAAAGTAGACTGATTATCTTTCTCAGAAAAGAAAATTACAAATTCATCTATCAGTGAGTAAACAATTCAAACGTAATAATATACAACATAGATTTGATGGCGTTGTGTCCCGTTTAGTTGGTGACCCGTAGTCAAACTCTTGAAATTGCAGCTTCTCTATGTTCAGTTCCTTAGACAACGGAGTTCTTTATGATCGCTAAGACTCATCCTTCTAATGTAGTCACAATCCTTCTAGGTTCAAATTGTGTAGTTAGGCGGGAGATTACTGTGATGTTATTGGGGCATAGCACTGTGATAAATCCTTTCATCACAGGGCTATATTTCCATCTCTTTTGCTTTCTTACTTATCCTCCCAAATTTATGCTAGGTATTTGTCCAATTTATGATATGTAAAGAGTAGATAGTATAAAATTCTAAGAGAATTTTATGACATTTAACGCTACGACGGATTCTATATACGAATTCCATATTCCAAGATAAACTAAGATTAATCTTATTGTATCTTGAACCTAATATAGGTGATTTATTCTTGGCAATTATAATCTATAAATATAAGGTAAATGAGAGGCGTCCTGCCTTTTGAGGTCATGAATCCTTAGAAATATCGTGTCAACATAACAAGATATAGCATGATCTTTTCGAATTTTAGGTCAAGTGTTTTCGATCTATCTTCACGCTTTAAGTTCAGAATATGTGGAACCCAAATGAGGACGACTGTATGGGCAGAACTGAGTGTCTATACTGAGTCTGTTGGGCAAATGATGACAATGCCCAAGTCCAAGAAGGTAGTTTTATACATACAACTCCACACTGTTCTTCTATGTTTCCTACAATTTTAATTTTTCTATAGATATCTGGTCTTTCTATCACTCTAGGTATATACATGTCTTTGAATAATTTTCTCCTCGCTAAAATCATGTTGGAAGCCAACAGAGATTGTAATGCCTTTCTCTGACGCCTGTGTCCATTTTCCATTTCCTGGGATTTTCCTTCTCACTGCTGGTCACATGCATTATTGTCAAACAAAGCCACGTTTCAGGATGTGGACCAGTATTGACACATGCATGAGACCAACTGCATATTCTGTGTGATCTTTATAAATTTCGTTGCTTTGATCGGGAAATTCAGTCATTATAAGTACAATTAAGTGCAACACGTCACGCTGTTAGAAAATGGACACATTTGTTCAGGTGATTGAAAGAAGATGGGACAAATGATGCGATTTGTTAAGTTAACAGTGTTAGTCCTATATTATGAAGAGATTCTGGTGCTCTCAGCCAATCTTGGTCCGGGAAAATTTACATCATCAGAATAGGTCTCTATATTATCAATGTCAGACTTTGTCTAGAAAATTATTGCAATCACCGACTCCTCACTGGTTATTTCTATACACCTCTGTTTTTATCTGTCCCAGACAAAATCTGATCCATCATCATCCTCGAACTGTCTCAAGTCTTTGTAAAAAGGTTCTGATCGTTCCAACCTTTTTATAAAGACTTGAGCTTACAGAGATCAAACCTTACCGTAGTTTTCTAAAAAGATTTTGTTAGCCTCCAAGAAATACAACATTTGAATATCAATGGAGACTTCGTATGTCCTTGGGCTTACAGCAACTCCACAATGTAGGCGATTCGTTGGGTGTGTATATTTCAAGCACTTGTAATCAAGTATAATTATATGTCCTCAACTAACCCCTAAACCCTTCTTCCTTCTCCTAATGTCACTTTCATATGAGTGTTGCTATGGCATGTTGTTATGCCGATCAGCTCTGTATTCGGCGCTTAAAACAGCAACGAGTCTTAGTGAACTACTTGATTGTCTGTACAAAATTTACCTGACCTTGACTATCTCTCATTTCAGCATGTACGCAGAATCGAACGGAAAGTAAAAGAGGAACTAAAACTTAAAAATCCAACCGAGGCCTAGTGACTTCATTTGGATCGTTTCACCATGCAGTGTTCATCGACAAAGGATTCAATCACAACCAACTGTCTGCAATTGGAGCTGCGTTTACTGTGTTCAACACAACTGAACCTCTTAAAGAAAGGATTGACGGCAACATCACCATCGTTCTAAACGGAGAGCTTGTGGTTTCCCTTGCCACTGTAAACTAGAAATGGCCTTCAAAGTACAAGTTGGAGCTGCTGCAGGACCCGCTGCTTCTGTACTACACCGGTTGTTCCTGGTGCAAATGCTGCAGGATTCAGTTTGCTTAACTTTTTTAAAACTGCATTAATCGTAGCAGTAGAACTTAACTGGGAGCAAGCCTCTTAAAAGTTTTACTTTTGTATCGTATGGTATCAGGAACAGTAAAACGCTGCCTCGAGCTTCCGCACAATGTGAATGTCAAACATTTCCGTACGTTTGAAGGCAGAAGATGGGAATCGAAATGTCCTCATCACAAAATCTGGCATCTGTGACGAGGACACTTGCTCGCAATGAAGATCTTTTCCCCTAGAGGACGAATTGACGGAGATTACATACAGAATATCCAATTTTATCCAATTTCATAGAGCTTTAGGACTGTACAAGAATCGAGCATCGAGAATCACGTATAGGATGTGGCAGAGTTACAACTGTTGTATCATGAATCACGCACAGGAATTTCACTCCGAACCATCCTTGTTTGGTCTATAGATTCAGAGTTCTTGACTGCAATGTACAAAGAGAGTTTTGATTGGCCATGTTGAACTGAGCTGATGTTTTCAATTCCGGATTAGAGTGTGCTTACCGGCAGACTAGGAACGCATCTATTTTACTTCTTGTCAGTGGAAAATTCCTTCACAGTAACAATTAAGTTTGCCGCATTTCATGTTCGTTCCGATTGCAGTTGTCAGTCTTATCTTCTATTCTCACGTGCTCTTCTGATGCCGAGAATTTCTTCCCAAACTATCCCAACTTTTGAAAGCATTAAATTATACCCAGAGTAGAATAGAACGCTGTACTATCCGACGATGTCCAGAGGAAATTGTAATGTTCCACGATTGGACGAGGCACATGATTAAGATGAAAGCTAGCAGTAGTGCAACTGTTTAAGCTTTCCGACACCTCCCACTCTAAATTAGGCTGTGCCAGTCATAAATACCCTTTATTTGCCGGATAAAGCGGTGTCTTGACCTGTCATTTGTTCACACGTTAACATTGATTGCTGACTTATGGGACCCGTGCCTGTTTCCTCCTGCTTGCTCGACCTTCTGGGTGAATTATTGGAGCTGTGCCTGTTCCCACCTGATTCGCTCGACCTGGATTGCCGCGTTGAAAGGTCAACGACTGCTGGTTGAAGCAAGTGGTATCCTCTCGTCGTGTCCACCACCTCAACATGACAGAGAATGTTGGTCTAAACAATCATCATCCGCCAAATTTGTCCTCACACAATTTGGTTTCACGTTAATCTGGAGTGAAGTTGAAGTGCTCCGCCGATCAACTTCATTCCGTAAGTCACCTCACTTCGAATTTCACAGGGTGTGTAAAACAGCCATGGCCACAAGCCCATATAGCCACCAGATTACCATCTCACCCCTTGAAAAGCATCAGTAAGTGAGCACTTCAGTGCAGCACTTCTCCTGAAACAAAAGCAAAATTCTTGATTCCTTAGTTCTCTCTCCACAACTGACTCGATCGAAGTGCGGTACACCAGGAGTTCCAGGACAAGCAGGAAGATCGGTTGCTACCTCGATCCAATATAACTGATCTCTTCCTTGCGGTTTTCTCGGCACAGCTCTGTGTTCAAGGGAGTTCAAGTTGGCGGACAGTCGCTCTGTTACTTGATGCTATTCAGCTGACAGTTCGCTCCATCGAATAAAGTGGCAGAAAGACAAGTGGAGACAGACAATCGCACGGACTGAGTCTTCTGATTTGCAAAACCGAAAGGATCCAACCAACCATGTATTTCAATACCAATACGATCTGCGGTATTGGTCATCGAAATGATCGTGGAGACCTGCAGTGGCTGCCTAGGATTGCTTTAACTGCAGAAGCGGTCATCTGCCAGAATTCTTCGCGCCTTACCTTGAAGCAGACGTTCGTGAATTCGGAGAAGAAAGCTCTGGATGAGGCTGTGTACACATTTCCGCTGTACGAGGGGGCAGCAGTAGTCGCATTCACTTGCACAATTCAGGACCAGGTCATTGTAGGAAAGATCAAGGACAAATGCACTGCACGACAGGTTTATGAGAGCGCTAAGGCAAAGGGAAATAGGGCGGCACTCTTGGCGGAGAGGCGTCCTGATATCTGGACAACCGAGGTTTGCACCATACCCGCCGGCGCGAAGGTGGAGGTGGAGATCACTCTCGTGGCCGAGCTCAAACACGACAGCCAAGTCGATGGAATTCGGTTCGTACTGCCCACCAACATCGCTCCGAGGTACGGAGAGCTACCGGACATGGAGGCGATGGATGCAACCATTCTTTCGGATAGCAAAGGTTTTGAGCTGACGATTGCGGTGACGATGACCTCCGCCATCACCAGCATGCAATCGCCCTCGCACCCGATCGTTGTGGGGATGGGCACTCACTCTCCCAGCTCAGCCCCGCCCAAGGGACAAAATGATGTCTGCAAAGGTTTTGTCACTCTCTCTCAGAAGGATACAGCTCTCGACAAGGATTTCGTCCTGATCGTCTCGAGTGCCGATGTCGGGCAGCCGCAAGCCATCGTGGAGACCCACCCCACACTCGGCAACAACCAAAGAGCAGTGTTGCTCTCTCTGGTCCCCAAGTTCCAAATTCCACGGATCTCACCAGAGATTGTCTTCATAGCTGACAGAAGCGGCAGTATGGATACTCAGATACCGCAGCTGCGAAATGCGTTGACAGTGTTCTTGAAGAGTCTTCCGGTAGGAGTGAAATTCAACATTTGCTCCTTCGGCAGTAGCCACAGCTTCTTGTGGCCCAAGAGCATGCCCTACGATCAGGCGAATTTGGATGTTGCACTGAAGCATGTTCGGACCTTCGAGGCAGACCTCGGGGGCACCGAAATGTTCCCTCCCATGGAAGACGCTCTGAAGAAGAGGTACAAAGATCTGCCGACGGAGATCATATTCTTGACCGACGGGGAAATATATGAGACGGAACCTCTGTTAGATCTTGTGCAGAGGGAATGCGCTGGAGGAGATGTCCGAGTGTTCTCTCTCGGAATCGGCGACTCTGTATCACACGCTCTGGTCGAGGGGCTGGCCAGAGCTGGCAGAGGGTATGCGCAGATCGTCGGAATTGACGATAAGCTCGACGTGAAAGTGGTGCGGATGCTCAAGGCTGCGCTTTGGGATCACGTCAAGGACTACAAGCTCTCATTTTCTGCAGCTGATTGCGCCAGCCCTGCGACGACCACCGCGACCACCAAGTCTGAGCACGACGCAGATGAGGCATTCGAGATGGTCGAGCACGAGGAGAGCTCTACACCGGCTCCGAAGTCCGACGAAACTCCGCCGCAGCCGACGGTAATTTCCCTGTACGACGAATCAGCTTCTGCCGATGCGGAAATCGAGCCTCCCGCTTCAAAGGACAGGTTCGCCCATCTAGCACCCCTCGAAGTGCCGACCAGGATTCAGACTCCCCACCGCGTTCCACCGCTCTACCCATTCAGCCGGACCAATGTCTACGTCCTTCTCTCGGGAGGCGAGCCCACTCCTCGAGTGATCACGGTGTCAGGCACCACCAATTCCGGCATCAAATTAGAGCTGCAGGTCCCTGTCAAAGATGTGGGCACGGGCACCACGGTCCATCATCTGGCCGCGAAGAAGCTTTTGCAGGAACTGGAGGAAGGCGGGAGCTACCTTCACTCGGGCGAGTTCGGAGTTGACCCGCAAACAGAGCCGGGCAAGTTTGTCGACGTTGTCGAGAGAGAGGGAGTGAGAGTAGGCTTGACCTTCGGAGTGGCGGGAAAGTGGACCAGTTTTGTAGCGGTTGAATTGGAGGAACCGGAATTCGAAGCTAGTGTTTATGATACTGCGTATTACTCCTCTGGCCGACAGCCGATGGCCTCGCCCATGCCAATGCCGATGGCGTCGCCCGCAGTAGTTACGTTCTGTTCTTTACGCTCTGCTCCAATGAGGATGAGCAAGGCGTCAGCGCGCATTGCTCGTTTACCTCAGAATCCGCCGCAAACGGCAGGCTTTGGCGCCATGGGCTCTCCTGAGTCCGCACAGGTAGAGTTGCTAGCGAGTGGCAGTAAGGTAGAGTCGCAAGGGAGTGAGAGTGAGGTAGAGTCGCAAGGGAGTGAGAGTGAGGTAGAGTTGCTAGCGAGTGCCAGTGAGGTAGAGTTGCTAGCGAGTGACAAGGAGGAGCTGACTGAAGATCCACCGGAGAGCAAGGCTTATCAGCTCATGAGATGGCAGGCCTTCGATGGCAGCTTCCCCTCGGGCTCAGGAGAGTGGGCAAATGAGCTCATTAAGGCATTCGAGCAGTGGATTCCACAACAGCAGCAAAGCCTAGAGACTGCAACACTGGCGGCTCTACCCAGAGATGTGCTGGAGAAGCTGGTGGCGAGTGCGGTGGCCACTGCCATTTTCGAAGTGGAGCTGAAGGATTCTCAAGGTGTGTGGGAGATGGTGGTGGAGAAGACAGATGATTGGGGTGTCCAGACAGCAGGAGAAGCGGCATGGAATGCAGTGAAGACTTGGGCTTCTCAGCAAGTGGTCACGGCCGGTGAATTGAAAACGGCGAATTTCTGGGCCAAGTGATGATCATCTTAGTTTGCGTCCTTCGTCTGTATCCGGACGATTGATAGCTCTCGCTGTATATTAAAGAGTTTTAGTTGATATTTATATATGCCGAAACTAGGGACCTTGCCAAAGCCCAGTGCTCTATCTCCATGTCTCTCATTACCAAAATTCCAGTGGTTCTTCCACCAACTCGTGTAAAAAACATAAGTGCATTTTTTGCAATGTAATATTGTTATCTATATGTCCGGGATGTGTATTGATGTGAATTTACTGTGCACAACTGCTTCGTAGTTGATTGGGCTTGGATAGAAGAACGAATTTAGTCAATTTTGTCAACAACAGTTCTGACTCTTGTGTTTTTCATCTTTCAAAATTCTGTAGTATTTTCGAACCAGGTTGAGATTCTACATGTAACATTTTATGTCCGTAGCTGCGGTGGTTTGCATCTTTTCAAGGTCTCAAGTGTAAAACATGTTCAAGTTTGAAATTTGATGTTGTAAATTCTCGCTGTAAATGTACAGACAATTGGCGAAAGTTTGCTTGCAACATTCAATGTACGAATGTTTCAGACATATTTTTTACACTATGCAGAAAATTCGGTTTCCGCTGATTTCAAGGATCACGTAGATTTTGGCTTACAAGTAGTATACAAAGCTTTGTGCACAAGTAAACAATCATTCTTCCTCCTCTTCACGGATTTTTCTTGCAACAATCAGTTGATAAATATTTCATGCACAAATTGAAAGTTGACTATGGTCAAAGTTGATTATGAAGAGTGTTGATATTGCCACGTTTGCCAGCTAGTGGCAACGCTGTGTGTAAAGTATATAATATTATCACAGTCCAGGAGGTAATGTTCACTCCTCTTTTCTCTTCAACAATATTCTTACTATCAAAAGTATTACCTGAGTAGCTGACGTTTTACTGTACATATATTATCATCACATTTTAAACATAAAATTTACTCTGAAATATGACATGTGACAATCCCTTCATCTCTTTACTAGTTACATCTATTCGTCGAATTTGAGACAGGCTATTATGTTCATTTTCAATACATATAACCGCCTATAGATTCAATCCAACTGCCCGTACATTACAATTTATAGCACATCACTCAGGAAGAGCATAAAATCAAGTTCTATCTCGATTATGTCCAAGCACTAACGTTCCACAATCAGCAGAAAAATTGATCTGTATTGCGTTGCTAAAATTTCGAAAGCAGCGATGTTACGCTGAGATTATCATTTGTAACAGCAGTTGTAACTCATTTTGGGGACTTAAATGATATGTAGGAAAGATAGGAACAAGGTAGCCACCCACTACGAGCAATTTGCATCCAGAGCTTTTGGTTACAGAGCGTTGCAAACAGAGCTTTATTGTTACAATTCACAAACCGGAGCTAAGCTCCAACACTGCTAGCTGACAGAGCCACGGCAAGTCAGCTAAATTCGATCCACATACTTCTACTTTTCAACCGAAATCATATCACCAACGGAGAGTCGCTTCAGATTAACTATACAAACAGCGAAGTTATACAGTGTAACCACAATATCTTCATTCGCCGTCGACATGAAGCGCTCTAAATGTATGAGCCTTTCACACCGATCAGAAACAATACCTTCCGATACTCCTATTGAGATTTGCCGCAGAATTAAAGGATCATCAGGTAACTGGTGAAACTGATCACTGCAATAATCATCGGGATAGAGTACGTGAGTGCAGCTGCAGCTGCCTTCGTAACTTCCACGTTAAACTTTTGGCCCGCTTGGCAATGACCGCTCACTCCGCAGATGAAGTAGTACATTTGTGCGTCCTCAAGTTCGACATCAAGAACTGCATCGTCGTGCTCGTAAGTCTCGAGAGGAGAAGTGAAGTTGCAGCTGTCATATGCCTGAGGAGTCACTCTGAGAACTGAATGCTGAGTTCTATCATACCTGAACACTGAGGTCTCCAATTTCACGTGTCAATTTTCGAGCTCGAACCACTGATTTTCAAATAATACCCGCTAAAGCAAACATTGCACACGGAGAGCTCAGGAGCTGGTAACATGAACAGCGAAGCTACCGTGGCTATCGCATTAATGAGATTAGCAACCATGCAAGTAAATTTCACAACGTCACACGGTGTGACGAATATTCAAAAATGCCAACTAAGACGGAAACCTGACAGTGCAATGTCTAGTATACAACAAAGCTGACTAACATTTCGCCGAAGATGAAAGGAAGGAAAACTCTTCAGCAATAAGGTATCAAGCCTTCCTGTACACAGACTCACTGCACGGCAATAAATGCCATAAAAAGAATCCAGTTTTGTACCGTAAGGCATAAACTCTTTTGATGCACACAAGTAAAATTTTGGTACAAGTCTAGATGAATGGGGACTGACGGCGGTCAATTGGTCTTTTGCATTTACATGGCATGCAATTCATCTTAAAACAGCAAAATCGCGTCGGAGAATACTACTCACTCAGTCGATCACCAGTTGTGTAGGTGTTGCTAGATGCCCATGTTTGATAGTCTGGGCCGTTAGCCGCTGGTACTTGCCAGGTTCCATCACCCCCTCCGACATTATAATCGGTTGCTTCCGCTGGGAGGCTCCAAAAGGCGATGGAACTCAAAACCACCAACGAGATAACAATTGCACTGCCGCTTCCCAGGCGAGCCATTTCGAGATGGAGCTGAGAACACCAGAAGGTGCTTCCGACTGAGCTGACACGAACTCGTGGACTTCGAGTAAGAAATCGTTTGAACTCAGCTGCGGACACGATACAACCTCTACACAATCCGAGAAATCAGATACAACCTTCGGATCAGGAGCCACTACTTAAGCTGCTCAGAATTGTGTCAACCAGGCCTGCGATCTCTCACTTTGGATTCCAACCATCATATTATCAGGAAGGACCCCACGCTTAGACCCGAGTCAACTGAAGATTCCCCTGCATGACGGATAAGACGGGCTGCTGTCAGTACACGCCACTGCATCACAAAGAATCACCAACTTCTGCTCCTACAAATGAATTCGTTTTGACGACGTGGCTCTCGTGTGAGTCAGCAATCTTGCCAAGTGTCCCTAGAGGACAAACTTCATGTTCAGCAGCCGGGCCGAGGATCTACTAGCAGTCGGGTTACTCCCATTCTGATATATCTAAGGGGCCAAGTACAGTAATACAGCAAAGTGGATGGGCAGACACAATCTGATGCAGGGTTCAGACTTTGAGCCTTTGGTTACCGAGTAGTTATCGTTGCTGCACAGTTGTTGACATGCCAGACGCGCTAGATGTCATTATGTGCTTATGACAACTAAGACACGTTTCGAGGTTAGCCAATTGTGAACCAGCATTTGTTGAGAACGGCCAAGACTGCAGAGTCAGGCTCAAAATTCTGAGCAAGCGGCATAAATATAAAAAGGCTCTGAAGAGGCTTGAATGGGGTTCTGGTCAATGCATGTCCAAATGAGGCCGGCGGTGGCACCACTTGGTGTCTGGACACTCGCAGGGCTGAGCTGACGTCGCTGGACTAAGATGCAGTCTGACCACGACAAGGTGAGCAATGAGCTCACATGCTATGAGGATTGCGCTTCAAGGCTGTGCTTTTACTTTTTCTCGTACACTAATGTGTTCTACGAAGTGATTCGGAAGGCATGTAAGGAAACTCGGATGTTCGCAACTTCACCGAGAGTGCACATGCTGGATGTACTTTGCAACGGCTTGAAGCCGCTTGTAACAAAAGCAAGGTTGGAATCGAATATTAGTTGGACAATCAGGCCCCCAAATCCTTCAACCCTCGGGAGAATAAGTTTATTTAGCACAAAGTATGGAACAAACATCAAAACCATCAAACCCAAAGTAACATGGGGCTATCCTCTCATAGCATCACTTTGAAAAATATTGATGGCTCATGTACATAGCCTATCTGACTATGTCAAAAGGTGTACAAACAACATCAACGTCCAATATAGCTACTAAAAATGTATTGCAATTAAAATAACATATATATTTTTTGAAAAGTTGTTGAACACATAATATTAAATAATAATAACCTTCAAGTCTTAAGTGATAAACCAGTGAGATTCTCATAAACATATCAAACTCAGTGTCTATAATTCCCCATATGTACGATAAAGTTCATTTTTCTAAGTATTCAACAACTTGGACATTCTGATTGCTTCTACACCACTTTCAATCTCTTTTCAAAATGTGTAATCCAGGTTGAAGTATCACAAAGTTGAAACAAGTATGATTCTATCTTAATCCTAGTCTATTGTAAGACATATGTGTCTGATATAGTCTATGTTGCCTATTTTCACAAGAACACAAGCAAAACTCAAACACATCAAAAAGCCAACACAAGCATACACAAGAAAATCCACAATGGTTCGGTGTCGCAAGATTACGGCCACAAAACAACAAATAGGCTTTATTTACAATAACCCAAAAGTGTTTGACGAGAACTTTGACTAACTCTCCTTTATAGTGAACTAAACTCTAAGAAGGATTCAGCTACTTATATTAAAACAGAAGTGAGTTAATACAAACAATTTTCTCTGAAATCATCATGTGAAAATATTAAAATCCATAATTCATATGATTACTTTGCAAAAAAATATTGAAAAAAAAACTAACATTATTTTATTTTTTAAAAGTAGAGCACACTAGAACTAAATCATAACCTAAACACAGAAGAGTAAAAATATAGAAAGATCACAAAATTGCCTGTAAATTTTACTTGTACTCATCATGTGAAAGCTACAAAGTAGCACAATGTCTTCCAAAGTCTCCCAAAACATTTCAAAGGTATAACATTGATCACCGTATCAATTGTACTGAATTAATCATCAATGTTGATTAGATCAATACAACAAAAATTACATCTTCGATAAAGCGATACTATGCAGCAAGATGTAACCACTCCAATTATCACAATGAAGCTTGACAATCTTTTGTTTTAATCTCATCTCAGTGATAAATCTATTCAGAAAAATGACTTTATTGAACTTTTAAATATTCAGTTTTCATTGTGAATTGTGTTATTCACTTCTGCAAACAAGATTTTTAATTAATATATCATCCATCAAATGTTAACACATGCCTAGTCGTACATATATTTTTGTCTAGATTTCTTTCATAGTTAGCATTAACGTAATTTAACAAGGATTTGACATCGTCTATTAAACTATCAAATAAAACATCATAATCCTTGAGAGTCTTTGATTATTTGAAAAAAAATTTTACGGCTTCCCAATGCGCCTATACTCAATTACACATGTATATATTCATGATATAGTGTAACACTAGGGTTTAGAGAGAAGTTCATTCGAAGATGAAAATATAAATTATTAAGATGAGAGATACCAACAATGTATATACTCTATCTTATATTCTTCCCAACAAGTACAAGGAGATAAGAGTTTATCCTTATCATTTATCTCACTCCTAGTGGATGTATAACGTGACAGATTATCCTAACAAGCACACAGATTGCTAAGATGACGCTTCCAACTAACACATTAACTAATACACTCAATCATTACCTAACAAGCACACGTCACGCTGATGTGGCACTCCCAACTAACACACTAATTAATACACTCAATCTTTAGCTAGCAAGCAAACGTGTCATTCCCAACTAACACACTTAACTTCTATCTATCAAGCACACAGATCGCCAACGTGATAGATTTGACTAATGCGAGCTAAAATAATTATATAAATACTTTGACTAATATCTACTTTAGTTATAACTAACTAAATATGATTACATATTACTTTGGTTATAGGCAAGAAAAATATCAGATCTTATGCATACCATTAAATATATAAAATTGTCCAAATCTTTGTTGTTAAAAATTGATGCCAATTTTCCATTCCTGATTACGATTGAACATTGAACTTACACAGAACTATATCATATTATGAACTTTTTTAAAAAAAAATTGTAAACACTTTTCGATTAGACTGTTACATTTTTACACTTGAACATAAAAATCATTTGAAAAAAATATATTTAAAACTCAATTGCTAATATATTTAAAATAATGCGTTAAAAAAATTCATATGTAGTTTTTTATTTTTAGTTTTTTTCAAATTTATACAGAACTAAATTGTTATAAAAGTAGATTTGAATTAATTAATATTTTATTTTATTTTAAAATAAATCAAATTATAATCATTTTGTGTACTTTTTAGAAAAAAAAACTATAATTTTTATTCAAAAAATTGATGGTATTATTAAAAAATATTTTTAATTTTTTTAACATTAAAAAAAAAAATTTCAAATTTCTTTTTTCTTCAAGAATGTTTGATTGTTGCAAACTACATTTTTTTTCATAAATTTTAAGAAAAAAACCAAATTTCAAAAAATTTCAAACTTATATTTTGTCACTATTTTGTCACTATTTTGTCACTATTTTGCCAATAATTTTTATGCCGCAGAAAATAATTCATTTTATGTCATTGAAAGTTAAATTTCAAAATTTTGAATATGATTCAGATTTTTATTTTTTTATTAAATATTTATATTTTGAAGTTTTATTAAATTTATCCTAATCATTTTCTTTTTATTTTTATTTTTAGTATTTATTATTCTAAATAATCCCCAAAAATGGATTTATTCATTTTTTAATTTTTTAATCTCTTTTTTACTTCAAATTTATTTTTTAAACAAAAATTCTATCCAAAACTGATTATGGATTTTCAAATGTATTGATCTGAAAATCATAAAAAATTTAAAAATAAATGTTAATATTTTGATATATTTATTACTTTTAGATACATAAAAATGTATGACATTGATCTAATAACTTATGTCTTTTAGGAAATTTTTATCAAATTTAAAATTTTGCTTCTAGTTAGTTAGCCATTGTATATAGCTCCAAAATTTTAGATATATTGCACATACATAAAAATACTGTAATAAAATTTTTACATTTGCAAGGATGAAACAACATAGACAGCATACATAGACGACATACACAATGAGACATACACTCACAAGAGAAGTCAACACCAAGAGATGAAGTGGTTCACCTACACCGAGGCTACGTCCACGGGAACAAAGAGAACTTTACTAAGATTCTAAACCATAGCCGTACCAAGTCTCCTCTTTTATACAAGCAATTTTAAAGGGCCTAAATTGCCTGTAAATTTTAATAGGCTTCAACCACTTAATTGATTGCAATTCTCACAATGTGAATCCCTGCAGACAATTCTCAACTCGCAATCTCATCTCATCGGTCGTCTCATCCCGCAAGTGACGGTATGATGCCTCTGCCTTTTCAGTTCTCCGTTGCGACTCTCATGGCAGCCTTCCCCAACTGCTATTGTAACTGTCGCCATTCTGACTCGACCTTTAATCTACATTAGACCTCCAAAGATCTGGCGGACTCGCAATCTGCCAATTTTTTGGCCCAATCCGTCAATTCCCCTTCGTGCTTCCAGATTTTCTCCGGCAGACTTGCCGTAAGCTTCTCTGCGTGTTTGAATTTCTTGTCACGCTCATTCATGAGCTCCGCAATCTTACTGCAAAGTTCTTCTTCTGCCGTCTTCGCCTCTGCAATCTTTCCCCAAAGATCTTCGGCGAAACGAGCTTCTTCGACTCTTCGTGCTTCAACCTTAGCAAGCTTCTCACCATGCATCTGCTCCCGTTTTCCTGCAATTGCAATCAGCCTCTCCACATGTTTGACTGCCGCCTCGTACGCTTCCTTGGATTTCTCCAATCTCCCGCACAAGTCCACTATCACCTTTTGCGCATTCTCGTTAGTGGCACGAAGACTTCTGCAGACCTCCTCTAACTCTGCACAGCGCTCAGACTTCTTTGCTAAGTTCAACTGCAGCACTTCGCACTCTATCTCCTT